TTCGTTACGTTCATCTTCCCCCCTCGGAGAATCGATACCCGTTTTCGTAAATGGGTGGTGACGAATCGTATTCGTGCATGTGGTTATTCAGGGTGCAGTTAATTATGCGCTATTAGGATTCTGCGAATTAATTTGCTCGTGTCAGGAACGATTAGCGTAATTAAAAGGGAAACCGTCGTCGACCTATTTTTGGAAAAATCCCTCCGGCGAGTAGGTAGTGGAACACATCAGCGGAGTTAGCTCTGTATCTGGGTCATGGCTTTAAAGCCGATATCGTCGCATCGGGACACAACAGTGACTTGAAATTATGGAAGAAGTTATTATTATAAATTGTATAAAATAAAGAGCGAGACAATTTTATTCTTCCAATTCAAGTTGCGTGCAGTCGTTTGGATCATCTCTGGTTATCCTTCAATGAGAACGGCGTTTCTCTGTATTTCGGAAATTCTCCCCGACATAGACGATCGATCTATAATTATCGTCTATCGCGAAAGAGATTTTACGCGTGGCAGTGTAGACGATGAAAGGAAACTATGTAAATAATCAGTCTTTGAATCTCCGCTCGTGAATCAGTCGTGTCAATTAGAATTTTCGATAATTTCACCCGAGACGTGCTCGCCCAATTGCATCATGTAAGGCGGATTACGTCACTGGCAGGCCGAGTATTATATAATTAAACAATATCTTGGTCCCAAGTAAACGAGAACTTTTACGAATAATTCCAACGATATCCCGACGTACCGTGATACGAGCAAAGAGCTTTTTCAACCGTCGGAAAATATTTATCTTCCGTTTTTTTATAACTTCCGTTGCATCTTATGGTGTCACTTTTAGGACGACTTGACTGTTTTTTTTAAAATAAAACTCTTCTGCAATAACGCGACGTTCTATTACACGGCCAGTTGGTTACTACTTGGCTATTTCATAACGAGACAGAGGGATTAAAGCATAATTGCGCAGGTGTAAAAATGAAACGGATAATGAAACCGTGACCTCCTTTCCGAAAAAAACTGGTATTACTCGTATTACCCCTTTGTTGATTGAACACAAGACCGTTCTGAACGTAACGCTCGCGTGACGTGCGTTGCATGCGTTATTTCGCATCGTCCGACTAATCCGCAACGTTATCACTTAGAGCGCAGCGCGATAAATCTTATCGTCGACGGGCGCGGAACTTCCGTGTGTAACGCACGCGTTTCCAGCGATCGCGGAACAAGAACCAAGTGAAACTCGCCCCATCGAGCCCGCATTAGATCCAACTGTGATGTATCACATCGGCGATCGTCTTCGTTCAACGCTCCGTCCGCGTCCCGAGCTCAAAAAGCGTTGCACCGCGCGCCCAGAATCGCTTTGTTCCACATCCGTCGGTTACATTTGCGTTAATTATTGTTGCACGTGTACTCGCAAATAACGAGAGAACAGTTGGCGGTATTCCCGGTTAGCTGATGATATCGGCACGCGATATCGGACGCGCTGCATCTCTCTACGGGGGGGAGAATTTTCTCTCTTAAAAGTTATCCTGAAAATCGTGTGGGACGTGGGACATGGCACTTTGAAGAACCGTACGAGAGTTTTTGAAATCTCACCATACATTCTACCAGTAAAATGTATACCAATTGTTATTACTAGTAAAATGTGTGGTAAAATTTCAAAAAACTCCCATAAAATTCTTCGAAATGCCGGGTTGTCTCACAATTATATAATTTTCAGGATAAATTAAAAAGAATTCTTCTCAAGCTCCCATCGTCTTTCTTTCTATTTCGAATGTGCTCTGTTCCGAGAGGATTCTACCGTGATTCTTCGAATTTCTACGCTTATCGTGTAGTAAAGCGGCAAGATGCGAACTTCCGCTCGCAATGTCAACGTACGCGTCATCGTGCTGTGTGCAAGAGAGCCACCTCGGTAATGTTAATGATCGCGAGGGGGCTATTTGTTCTACTTCCTCTACTCCCTCTACCCCCATTATAGTATTTAAAAATATTTTTAATCGGAAACTTTCAATAGGAATCACTCTCATTTCTTCCCTAGTGTTTTTGTCTCTGTCGAAAAGTGACTGATGACCATTTCTATCAATGCAGATTAACGTTGATCTCGGTTTAATTTATTTTTATCTTTTTTCAATTCCTGAAACTAGAAAGAGATAACAATACATATAAATAAAAAGACTCTTTCCGATAAGGAAAATAACTGCCGGAAAGATAAACCAAATATTGAGCAGTAATATCAAAATTAATGAGACAAGTATCATAAAAGAAGGAAAGAGTAAACTGAATATATGGTTCTAGCGAAAGAAATAGTAATTACCTGTGGTTTTGAGAAGCTGTTAAAAACAAGAGAGTGATAAACTGTAGATATTAGTTAGAACTAAATGGCAATAAGATGAAAGTCACGGTAGTAATATTTGTTTCGCTAGCAAGAAAGGATGAAAACGAACAAAATTTAAAAAACCTAAAGAAAGAAAATTAAATCATAGTGGGTTTTTTATTGCAGTATTATATGAATCCGGAAGACTGTGTGTATCTGTCTGTACATTTAAACCATTTTCTTGTCTCTTGATGAAAAGCATTTCAGAAATTCGTCTTTTATATAAAAATCTTTCTCCGTCTAAAATTTGAACGTTATTCCAATCAAACTCAAAGCTAATCTGCATTGGTAGAAATGTGTGTGAGTCTCTGTACGTCTCTCCGGTTAATAAGAAGTAGTGGCTCCCGCGAGGCTCCTACTCAAACTTTATCAATACAGATAACACGCGAGCCGCGTCGTGCTGAAAGTTTCACGCGTCGTAGCTGTAAATGCCCAAAGTTCTATCGCTCAACGCACTACGACATAACGGGCTAGTTAAAATATATGTAATTAAAGTTCATAGACTCGATAACGGTTGCAGCTTCGATATCTCACGCATCTGATCTAGATTCGTTTAAAACGGTGCTTCTCGCGCGATTACAGTTTCCTCAGGGCGGTAATCGCAACGAGAATCGTATTTTCATTTTTAATTAATGCAGGCGAGATGCAGAGACGAAGCTCTCCCGTCGCCTCGGAATTCGCTGATTAAAATTGAACGCTCGGCTGACAACGGCAGCCGTGGAGTCGCGAGGAAAGCTGCGGGTCGTTAGTTTAATATAAATTGAAAAAGGGAACGGAAGTGCCATGTGCTCGGCAGCCGAAACGTGCGAGCGGAAGTACACACATCGTTATTCGATACAAATAGATAAATTAATCGATTATGTACAAGTATGAACAAGGTGTACAAGCCGCGGCAGTGACGTCGGTGCGCTCGTATGCGCGTTCGAGGTGGCCCGACAGGTGAGCCGCGCTCGAGCCACTCGTTTCGCTCTAATCTCGCTAAACCCTCGCGTGCGCTAAACCCTCGCCATTATCGTCGGCGGCAACGCGTCGCGTTGCTTTCGTATAACGAGAGGAAGGAAGCGGAGCCTCTCAGAATGTTGACAGCGAGCGTTCAACAACCGTCCGGTAGACACCGCTCGCCCGGCGTAACAATAATGTCGGAGCACAGCTCCGAGGAAAACAGCATTTATATATTATCACATAATTTCAGGCTACTGAAGTCTACATATTATCCACCGCCACCCTCTGTCGTGGTATCGCTAAGATGAATAATTAAGTTGGCCTAAAGTCGGCTATCGCTTTAAACTTGGTCAGTATCTCTAGCTGAAATTTTCCCCTCGTCGGCCGAGGCCGCGCCTCGATGCGAGCTCGTCGATCGGTAAAAAACGCATTCCCCATCAGGGTATTTCCCATCCACAACTCAGAATTTTTCTAGAACTCGTCGGGATCTTTCGAGCCTACTCGACCAATTGGAAATTCAGCCAAGTTCTCTTCGCACTCGCTCGCGTCGAGGCGCGACCCGAGCGCAATGCAGACGTCCGACGTCCGGAAGAAGTCTGCGGCCATGATACGAAAAGGAAATCCTCGTGATTAATCCGGTACCGCTTTTCTCTCTCTATAGTTTTTGTTGTTTTTTTTTTACGAAACAATAACAGTCAGCGCAATGAAACGGTCTGCTGTAAACCGATCGGATCCTATTAACAATACCGAACACATGTAACTGGTAATACATTCGTATGACGCATGTAAATGTAATTCGAAACTTTTATTCGCTGTCGGCGAGGTATAATCGACTACTTTTGGCAGTAAACGATAGGTGGTAACGTTGAAGTTTCTCGCGTCACCACGGCCGCAATATAGCACGTCACATTGCGTGAAATATTTAACATCTCTCTCGATCGACGTCTTGATTCGTCTAGTAACGTCGCGACGACTTGTGCGCGTCGACCATTCTCATCTATCTATCTTACAGACAATCTCTCTGTGCGAGTACGTCACGCGCGCCCAGGAAAAAAAAACAAGGAAAAAGGAAAAGTACGGAGCGCGAGACGAGACGAGGAGGAGCTCGCTCGGCTCTAAAATTGCTTGTCTACTCTTATTCTCAAGAAGAACTAATGTCTTTAGCGCTAACACGTTGCGCGCGACGCTCGATGTCTCGGATCCCCGAACGAGGTGTTCCTTAATTAATCGAGACGTGTCGATCGGACCGACGTGGCGCCTTGGCTAATTAATCATCGTCGATGCGAAGATCCGTTTCGCTGCTCGATCGCTCGAGCGTTATCTCGAGAAGAGCAGGCGAGACGTCTCTTGTGTAATATCAAATATAAATACTTTGCATGCCTGTTAATTGGACAAAATGTACGCGGCTCTAATGCGAGATAGTTTTGTGCTACGCGAGAAGAAATTTTTCTTGAAATTTATCCTGAAAATCATGTAATGGTGGGACAACATGGCATTTCGAACAACTTTATGAGAGGTTTTTGAAATTTTACCATACGTTCTACCAGTAAAATGTATACATGGCGTTTCGAAAAATTTTATGAGAGTTTTTTGAAATTTTACCATACACGTTCTACTAACAATTATACTCACAATTAGTATACATTTTACTGATAGATGGTAGAATTTTCAAAACTCTCATAAAGTTGTTCAAAATGCCACGTTGTCCCACAATTACATGATTTTCAGGATAAATTTGACGAAAAAACTCTCTCCGTGTAGGTGGTATCGGTAAATGAGATAAGACGACGCCGGGGCGGTCGCATTAACGTCCGTTAATTACCGTCTCTAATTGAATTGGAGGTGCGCCGGACTCTCGACTGTTAAAACGCGGTTAAGATGAAACTCATCGGCTTATAATAATTCGCTATAATTGGCCAACAACTCGCATTATCGACCTGCCCCGTCGCATCGTGTGCTTTACAGCGTTCTCGGCATTGCGCCAAAACGCGGCGATTCCTCGGCCGCGCTAATCGTCGAGGTTCGATCAAGGCGCAGCGTCGTCCGATCGTCACCAAGCCGTTCTATCATAATAGCAACATACTACTAGGATTTTATTACTTATTGTCCTCGTTAAAGTAGTTCGCACTTTAGTTCTGTAGCTTACGTTACGCTCTCCTCTCTCTTTCTTTTTTCTCTCCTCGTTTCGAGATGACTTTCGGGCAGCTCGACGGGGAATCATTAAAACTTTCGCGTGGATGGGACGTGTAACGGTACTTGGAGAAGTAATAAGGCTTCGCGCGAGAATAATAAGATCTTGCGCGCGAAGATAACGAAAGTATCAGGGAACTCGAGAGCTTCCGGTGCCCGCCGGTTATCGCGGCAGTGATTATTTCGATGTCTGCGAGGTGCGATCGAGACTTGGGCGAAAACTCGATCGCGACGGTCTAGACTCTCACGCGTCCGCTAAAAATTGACAGTGAGAAACAAGTGTCTCGGGATACTTCAATTCCAAACGATTCCTTTTCTCATTTTACAAGACGCGTCAGTCTCTTAAAATTGAAGGAAACATGGCAGTATATCGTTACGAAAGTTTATTTAAAAAAGTAGACGTGGAGGACCGCGCGCGCGCCGCGTGTCGTGTCCTCGATGAAAAGTTACGCGCAAACGTCACGCCACGTCGCCGAATTAATCCGCCGTTACACGTTTTACTTGGCGCTATTGCATCCCGACACCGGGTGGGACACCGTCGACGCTTGCGACCCCGAGCACGTCCCAGTCGCTGCTTTACAATTCGCGACGTCCCCCTGTAATCAGATCGCCCGACTCTCTCGCCTCCAACTCACCTGTCATTATTCTCTGAATTTAAAACGAGACCCATCGGTCCGTCGACCGACCGGGAACGAAAGCGTTCGTTCGACAAAGAAAGAAAAAAAAGAGGCGTTCTCCAACTCGCCATCGAGTCATCGAGCATCGAACGCGCTTTCCCGATTATGGATGAGCTCCGGTCTTCCCACCTAACGTCCCGAATCTCTCGCACACGACAGTTCTGCGCGTTACGCGGAGGCGGTGCCGCAGATCCTCCAGCGACGGCCGACCCGGCGACTCGTTCAGGAGAGCAGGGCCGAGTAGAGGCCGGCCGCTGATCCGCGGAGGATCGCCGGGAGCCGCGCCGACGACGGCCACGTGGACGACGGCGATCGTCACACAGTGGTGACCCGGTCGACCTCGACGTAACGCACAGAACTGTCGCTGTGTCAGCATATCACTTCCTTCCCGTCGATTATCGCCGTCTCGGAGGAGATGCTCTTCAGACGGTGCTGGGATATCGAGCGGCGGCCGCGCCGCCGGCAGGCCCGCCAGACAATGAAGCAGGAGACACCGAGGACGGTGAGGATGACGAGCGCGCCCAGAGCCAGCTGCAGCGGCGGCAGCTGCAGCAGCACGGAGCAGTGCGTGAGGGCCTCGTCGTAGCCGGACGGGCAGTGGGACACCCCGTCGCACCACAACGAGGCGTTTATGCAGGCGTCCAGCTCCGGGCACCGCTGCTCGCAGTCCCGCGACATTTGTAGGCCCGCCGTTGACGTCACCGACGGTCTGCGGGTCAGAGCAAGGATCGATAGAGTCACATTGTTCCGCGCTGCGTAACGAACGCAGCTTTCCTCGTCGGCCGGTCCCTCCTCCTCCTCCTCCCCCCCCCCTTCCCCCGTTCCCGCCCGACAACCGCTTAATCGAGGACGGGTCGTTGGATATTAATTAAAGTGTTTTCCAGAGAGACACCCGAGTGGTGCTCTCGAACGGTCCATCATGAGCCATTGTACCTTTACGCGGCTGTAAATCAGAAAGCGCACGAGATCCCCTGGCATGAATAATAATAAGTAAAGATGTATCTTCCGGGAGGTGGGCGCTAAGACGTAATATTATAACTTCCGTACGGGAAAAATAACGGGGGAGGACGAAACCAGGTTTCGAACCTGGGAGATCTTTCCGTTTATTCTTCCGACTCTGAAGGGACATTGAACTGGAACTCACCGATTCGCACCTAACTTTTTTCCGCGTTAGTTCGACCCTACCGGAGGCCAGTAATATCCTTCTGAATTTAAAATTCTCTCCGTGCATAAGAGCCTCTCGTATTTACGTGATTAAGCACGAACTCCTATATTCGACTCTAGCAGAGTCGAACTGACTCAGAAAAAAGTGTGATGCAAATTGGTGAGTTTCAGTTCGATAGTGTTCCCCTTGAACCATCTCCAGGTTCACACTCGATACCTTTCTCGCTTGCCTTTTTACTGAATAAAGCAGGAACAATAAGCTAGCAGCGCGACTCCAGACCTCAGATCGACTTATCGAAGGGAAAAGGAAGATTTGCAATTATTCTTATTAGTTTGCTGTTTAGCAATGTGTTAACGAAGAACCTTCATTCTCGATAGTTCATATAATGCTTCGTAGAATTTCTGGCAGTGTCCTATCGCGTATTTTTCCCCGTAGACTTGGGGTTATCAATTATCAAGAGCATTTGTAGCGGACTAAACGTTGGGAAACTTTAGCTATACATTTCACGTATAGTAAGTTAGCGAGGGGTCTTTGCAACTTTCCGGGAGAGATGCAGATACACCCGCGTGAATCTATTAAGACAATCTTCGTTTCTACGAGATTAATTATTCCGCGCGAGAGATTGCGAAAGTTATAGATAAATTACGGCTAAGTTTAATGAAGGTTTCGTTTTTTCTCTCTCTCTCTCTCTCCCTCTCTTTACGGAGGTCGCGTTCATAAAGACTCTATTAATTACGGTCTTTACCGTGCCCCGTTATCAGGAGCACTTCCAGTAGTTCCAGTAATACTTGTAATTGACATAATATCGGGTATATCGGGGACTTTTCGTTTCGTACCCCTTCCTTTCTCCATTTTATTCCCGTAGAAATGCCGTCGCTACGAACCTTCGGGTGAGCTCGAGCCACGTGACCGTGTAGGAAGCTGCTGGCTCTTTCACGATGAACTCCACGGCGATGGTCCGGATCGGATCCTGTCCCGGCGCGAGGATCATCGCGTTGCTGCTGACGGCCCAACCGTCGCTGAACACCTCGACCACGTGGTGCCTCACGTCAGCAGGTGGTCTCGGGCACACCGACACGTGAATCGCGCCGCCCGTATGCACGATGATGCGATTCTTGGTCGCGCACTTGGTGCTGTTCGATACGATTATACCGTCCATTTTCACGTATAAATACTGCCCCGGGCCGGGATCGATCAGCCACGGCTGGTTCTCGCAATTTTTCTGCCGGTGAAGAGAAGCGTCGGGATGAAGTATAACCGAGATAGACATTTAAAAATCGGTTATTAAAACGTCCGATCTGAAATATCCCTCGTGATTCTATTTCGACGTTTTTAAAAACTGAAATCTCATTTTCGAAAAATTACACGATCAATTATAGCAAAAACCAAACTATGTTACTTGACATAATGAAAACCTCTTCCATGTGTCGCAAAATGGTCCCTTTCGGACGTGATTTATCTTTTTGCAAATACTTTCCGTTTTTTTCCCCCTTTCAGATCAACGGATAAAAATTAGACGACGGCTTTTAACGGCCCTGCATGCAAAGCTTCCCACGTTTACCTCGTCATCGTCGATCGGTGGCGTGTATTTAATTTCGCCGGACGGCCCCCTGACTCTACGTTTCTGCATGCAAGGCGTCGTCTTGACGAAGTCCCAGGTGCCCTCGAAGAAGAGATTGTTGTAATCATCCAAGGCGTCCATGGATAGAACGGCGAAATGTACCTCGGCGATATTAGAGGTAGATTTGATATTGATGGGTAGCGATCGATTCGAGCAGAGACAATCTCGCTGGATGGGCGGCGCATTTGGCCAGGGTAAATCGAGCACCTGTAAACAGACAGTAGAGAGACGCCTCTGACCGACTTAATCCTCGAAATAGTACTTTCAATTTATCGTCTATTGTTTTTTTATCAATATGTTTCGCGGCTGAAAAAACGATTTTCGATAAGCCTCTCGTTTTTTCCCCCGAAAAATGCTTCGCAGTGGAAATCAGAGCCCGATGGGTATCCTCGAAAATGAAATCTCGAACCGGCAAGTTGAATTTGCGATTCTAACACCACGTTCCGTATTCAATCTCGTACTCGCTTGATTAAATATCGAGTTAATAAGGTCGATCGCGCGGTACGTACCCGAGTCTGATTCGCGCCGGTATCGACTATTTAGAAACTTTGAAGCCTGTCGGTTCACTTCGATCTACCGTGCTTGGATTCGGAGATTGCTGGTACTTGCTATCGCAAAGCCACCGTTAATTACTCGACCAAAGCCACCTGTTAGTGCTTCCATATAACTTCCATTGTATCCGTAAGTTCTGTCGCTGATGATCATTTTCCAGCTTAGCGTCTTCAAGATAATTCATCGAAAGCATTGCTCCAAGTGTTCAACGCGATACAAAACTTCCCCTTTCCTTTTCGCGTACGTTTCGCGATGCGGAGCGCTCGAATAAATGGGTCCAATGACGCATACCGATGGCAAAATTTAATTTTCGCACGAGGGCAATAGATCGCACAATAGGTTTGGCGCGGGACTAATTGCAATTACCGCAAGTTTCAATTACGCACCTTAACCGAGAAGTTCTCGGAGTCGACACAGAGCAGCCTATTGAAATCGGAGTTGCCGACGCTGCGGCAGGTGCGATTCCCATTGAGGAGCTTGTTGAACCTCAGTTTCACCACCTCGTCATGTTCTCCCTCGAAGCGGTACACGCAGCTGCAAAACCAGTTCTGGCCTGCACTTTCAGCACTTAATCGAATCTACACGCCTCGCCGGCCAGGCAAAGGAGCCCGGTTCAGTGATCGATACCGCGGGAAGATTACGAGGAGCGTCGAAGGTTGTACGCTCGTTAATCGGAAAGCGGCCGAAGTGATCCTAGGAGTGGATCATGGCAACGTGCAGCCATCATTGCCGCGTTTCCCAGTCTCTTTTCGGATATCGCGGTTGGATTATCCCGCCGGAGAACATTCCTGCCTTTCATTACTTAGATGGGGAAATGAATCTCTCGGCGAGTGCAAGTAGCGGTATTAAAAAGACCAAATAAAATCGATTTTACCGTCAACTAATACGGAAATGATTTAGCGGCTCGGCGAGCGAGTTTATCTGCGTGAAATTTTTTATTTAGGAAATTTAGTCGCGTAAATTTATCTTCTGGTATCGGACAATTCTTTTGTTACAGCTGGCACTGCGATACATTTCTAAAGCGCTATGTAACAGAAGTGACGAGTAAGCTGAAAACGCAGCCGTGTCTTGCCGAATGTTACGACAGAAATTCTGATTTGCTGGCAAGAAGATCTCGGTTTAACGGCGCGAACTTCATTTTACGATTGTCGTAAAGCCGCATCTAACTGATATTTTATCGGAATTGTGCAAGATTCGATTCTGCGGATGGTAGTAAAGGAACGCGCGCGATAGTGCCGTACGGAGACCGTCAAAGACCGGGTATATGTGTACGTACCTTTCATAGATGCGTGCTCCGCGTTTTGCCGCACACATCTCGGTGAGATGCGTCTGGGCGACGTACAATAAAGTTCTCGCGAAAAGACGCTCGGGATTCGCGAAATCATTCCATTCAGATCGCGACAGGTGGAAATCGCGCGGGACGAATCATTGAAAATAGAAGCCATTGTAAATAAATTACGCGCGGAGCGAATTTTCTTGGAAAATTTATCCTGAAAATCATGTAATCGTGGGACAACGTGGCATTTCAAAGAATTTTATGACAGTTTTTTGAAATTTTCCCGTACATTTTATCAGTAAAATGTTCCCTTTCTAAAAAAAGAGATGTTACCGGCGTGAATGTCGTTAATATCGTACAGTCGACACCTCTTTTTCGCGATGCCAATTGGTTTTCTCGAAGTACGATATGCTTCACTTCTCTTTTAGATTCGTGTCATGCTTTAGCTCGCATCTGAATTTTGACAGTTGTGTAAAAATATACTTAAAGAAAGTTAGAGACTAAACCAAAAGTTAAAGAAAAAGAAGTTAAAGTTAAATATCTAATTGAGTGTAGGAGAATGAAAGAAATTCTTATTGTTCTAATGAGATACAACAATAACTAATCTTTTTAAAAAGGTATATAAGAGATTTAATTATTGACGCTGTGTTCCGCGAGCTGATTTTCTCGCTTGGCTTTCTATTGCGAGTAGCTGTCAGTGCGGGAATCATGTAAGATGTATTTTGACAGAGTGTCAACGTCAGATTACGTCCTCTTCACATTAAAAAACTCTTAATGTGTGAAGAAGATCACGAATAAATATAAATTAAAACCAAATAGCGCGCGCAATGCTGTTTCCAATAAAGTATTTAATACTAATTTAAATTAATATAAAAGTAAATAATTCCATAATTTTTGCTCATAATAAATGAAGATTTGCAATTAGTAATATACATTGATATGCATCAACTATTGAAGTAAAATCTCTAATCTTAGTAATTAGAATTCACGTAACAACGATTTTTGTTTCGAAACATTTTCTCGATTGAACAGAATTAATCGTTAATTTAATCAATACCAATAAGGCCCGGTTGCACCAACGTCACGTAATTTTAACTGTAGCTTAATTCACTCTTTGTCGCTTTCCAACTGTTTCCCTTAGAAAGAGACAAAGAGTGAAATAAGCTAAAGTTAAATCTAAGCGACGTTGGTGCAACCAGGCCTAAGTCCGCGGAATAATACGCAAAACGTAGTAACAATCGCGGAATAAAGTAATGTAAAATATTATTAAGTACAGAATTTTCCATTACGTAGACGGGCCAACGAATTCTCAACGTTTTTTTGTTGTTTTTCACTCGGCGCGGTGACGTATGATGTTTTTGCGTGTACTGAAGGTCGCTGCGTCTCACTCGCTCGCCGAACGTCGGGCCGGCAAGCAGTGGCGCGAGTCGCTCCGTGCGTCGTATTACTTTTGCGTTATCGGTTTCCAAGACTCGATCGCGATGAATGTAAGGCTGAAACGCTATTGATTCGTACACCTCTATCAGTAACAAGTAACGTTGCTTCATTAATTATTCAGTTTCTGTTTTATTTTCGGGAAAAGAGAAAGACATTTGTACGAACTTCGGCGTTCGCGCTGTAACTCGCTCTGTCGTTCTTCACGACTCGAACAGGCATTAATTGCAATAGCAATTAATGACAACTATTTATCGCTGTTTCGTTCATATAATTCACTTCGAGGATTAGATTGAATGACAATAAATATTATAAAATATCGTTTCGTTGCGGACTAATAACTACTTTACCGCAGATTATGCTTGGATTCCGATGCTCGCGTTGCGTTTTATATCGCTAATTTACCAATGATTTATCCATTATTATCCTACTCTCTCCGAATAAAAAATGCAACTTGTTAATAATATTTGGTGCGTTTCGCGGTATTTCACATCGCATACGGGAGTGCCGGAAATTTCGCGCGATCGATGATTTTCGCGAGTGAGTGTGTGAGTGCAACAAGGAAATCTGAGAGGAGGAGCAGGCCCAGCGGGCATCGGGCAAAGGCTGAGAATTGGTGAGGTAAGTGTCTTAATTTTTGATACCATTTGCTACTTGTGCAAAATAAAGCATCTGTTCTCTGTTCTTGTTTTATTTATTCGAACGATTCGAGCGAGGATTCGAATAAGTGTTGCAAAACGAAAGTATAAAATTTTGTGAGTTTATATTTAAAAGAAAGACTTTTTTAATATTCTATAATTATTTTAATAAATACCTATTTTGAAAAATGTAAAATATATTTAATAAAATAATATCAATTTTATACAATTATTCTATAATAATCATATACGTCTTTGTATTTTTACAGTTTAACGTATATACTTGACGATGTACAACTCTGCTCTTGCGGATCGTATCAGTGAGTTATAAATTACCTTTTATTTTAAATGAACATTGCGCATACAATACCTTCTTTGCAAGTATACAAATTCTTGAAGGTATACAATGCTCAACTACAAACTGCGCGCGCAAAGCTCTCGCGCAAGAAACTCTCATAAACGTTCTTCGAAACGCCATGTCCCACGATTATATTTTCAGGATAAATTTTAAAAGAAAATTCTCTCCGTGTGTAATTTATTTACAAAGGCTTCTATTGCTAGTAAAATGCATGGTGAAGTTTCAAAAAACTGTCATAAAGTTCTTCAAAATGCCGTCTTGTCCCACGATCCCACATTGAGAAAAATATCCGATTAAATATATAATCGGATAATCCAATTATATAATAACAAACGAACATATTCGATTAAATTGTATATCCGAATTATGATCGGTTTTCAATCAAATTTCATCGGATATGTATTGTACATACATAATTTAATCGGAAAAATTAACCATCGGAAACACTATTTAATTGGTTTATCCAATGGAAATTTTTCTCGGTGCATGATTTTCGGGATAAATTTTAAGAGAAAATTGCATCTTACACAATTCTTGGAATCTGAAAAAATTAGGTCTTCCGATTCTGACAATCTCGAGACTCGACTATTTATGAATGAAGCTGTGCTATCGATACGTCGCACATATCGCGCGTAATTTTTCCACAACGAGAGTACCTGATACAAGTGGTAAAGCTTATACCCGTTTAACGTGATGCACTTGATGATGTACTCGTACATACGTTTCTAATTGCCGTTTAGCGTGTGGCGTATGCGAGCCTGACCTCGTCTTTTCAGTTTCGCGGTACGCCGTTCGTCGATCGCGAAAGGGAGATAGGGAAGACTAGTGTATTTTACGACAAGAGGATTTACGACGCAATGGTTTGTTAATAATAGGCCTGTTAATAATAGGTCGTCGCGAATTGACGAATGATAACGAGTTGACGATGTCGTAATCGCGCCGTTATATCGTTTGCATTAGCTTTCACGACGGTATTCCGATATGTAATCCCATCGCGGACGATAAACTGCCGTAATATCGAACTGTCACTGCACCGCTATCAGCGAATGGGCAATTATAATAAATGATATTGTATACCGACGTAGTTATTACATAATTATATTATAAAATTCATCATAAACCAGATCTACTTAATACTGACTGTCGAAATGAATCGGAAATCTCGAACAGCAACGCGTGTTTTCGATAAGAAAATTCAAGACATGGAATGTTCTTCCCTCTCACAATCAGACGAGGGATAAAAACCGCTGGGGACATTGTGGTGTACAACTTTCGGGCATTACTAGGCATTTTTTGGGCATTAGTGGGTGTTATTTGATCTTGCTGGGGCATTCTAAAAATCTAAAAAGATAAAATAAGATAAAATAAGATAATAAAGTAACATCCACTGGGCACTAGCCTAGTAGCGCAGTGCATTGAACAAACATCAGTTACAATGATCAGTTATCCATCAGTTAGTGATCAGTTTTTTAGAGTGGGCATTGGTGTACATTTTGGCCAGCGGTTTACCCCTCGCTCTCAGAGATATCTCTCTAATTTGCTATCGTAATAATGAACACGGCCGCGTTCTTACCTTATGTTCTTTGACCCTCCGCGACCGTACAGGAATATGTCGCGCGGCCCCTGGAATTTACGATCTGGATAATGGTCTCGATTCCGACTGTAGAAAATGCGGGAACACGGTCCGCTGCCGTAAGGATCGCCGTCCTGGTGAAGATCCACGAATTCGTACAGAGCGCGGAAGTTTACGGGTCTGGAAGAAAAGCGCGACACGAGCTAATTAATTCGCGTTAGAGCATAGGAGGAAAAAGTAGATTTGTTAAATTACACAGAAAGAAATATAAGTTTGTATTTATTATATTAATCCGTGAAACAAATAGACGAGCGATAGAAGACTTGTACATACACGTATATTCTTTGCTTTCGAATCTTAACGCGGTCTTATCCTTGGGGAAAATATACCTTGCATGCACCAACGTCACTTTATTCTAAGATTTGGAAATTTCGCCGATAAAGAAATCGTGAAAACCGCTTCCAATTTATCTCGAAAATAGTCTTACAGAATGACTTGAAATTTTTATAGTCTACGTCCGATTGATAGAGGAACAAAGTGGTTCTCTGCGTTTTTCCTGATTAAAAAATAAATTACAGAGATTTTATATGATAAATGAAACTGCAATTTTTCTTTTCAAAATGAGGAAAAATGCGAAGAACCGCTTTGTTCCTCTATCAATCGGACGTCGACTGTAGAAGTTTCAAACAATTCTGTAAAACCGTTTTCGAGAAAAGTTGGAAGCGATTTTCATGCTTTGTTTTCCGGCGAAAAAGCGTGCGACGCGTCGCCTTAAAAAATTAAAATATCTCTTTCTCAACAATAAATGCGATTGTCACTATGTCGCTCCCGCGTTATGACAGATCGAAGTGTAACAGCATCGGATCAGGAAATCTTTTCCGTGGGTACGGGGACGATGGCGAGGCACGTGCGGGACTGTGTTTACGTAACAACAACAAGAGAGGGTCGATACGTGCCGCTGTCCGGCGGGTTCGGTGCACCGATGAAGATCGACGAACCCCCAGCGGATTGTGAAAGGCGGTGGGCTCTGAAGGGAGACGTTGCACCGGCCGGCCGGTCGCGGGGATGTTATTAAACCCGGTTCGAGCTTATTATAAAGCGTCGTGCGCCGCGCCGGTAGGCTTTAGCTCGCGCGGAAAGGATTAACTAGACCGTGCGATGCATCCGCATTGCACGTCACTCATCGCCGGGCTATCACGCCCGAACACCTCGCGTCCACACGGCCGATAGGCACGTGCGCGAGGGGAAAAAAGATGGGAAGGGGGGAGGGGACGACGACGACGACGACGACGACGGTGACGACGACAGGCGGATACTCCCGGACGTGGGGTGATAAACGGATGTAACGCGTGCGAAATGTGAACCGGAGTGTGTCACCCGCAGCCTGGGAGCGCCGTGGAAAAAGCCGACTTTTAATTATTCATCGGCGAATAACGCCTAGATCTAGATTTTCGCCTGCGTTGCGAGGGATCGTCGGGAATTATCGTGCGTGGAACACGACGGAGAGAACAACGGGGGCGACAGACGCAAACGCTCCGCCGATTAACGCCACAAAGACCGATGTAATCGCGATTCGATTAGCAGAGGTGAACATTTCTACGGTGTACCATACACACGCGCGGGTATTGCGCTTGATTCTTCTCATTTTTAATAATATTGGACTGGCTCTCAGATTGTCCGCTCTTTTTCCCCTTCTACCCCTCCCCCGGGTTTGTAAATTAATTATCCGAACGCAAAACATTCGAACATCCGAACGCACTCTTTCAATGAGGCGGACGAAGCATATTAATTCATTGTTTAGATTAACATTCATGAATGGACGCACAGCGCGTGGAGCGACGTGGTGAGCGCGCAGCAGAAATTGGTACGGCAAATGCCCTTACGGAAATGTAACAGCTTGGAAAAAGCACTGGGCAATTACTCGAGTTTCAGCAATTGAATTATTAGAAGTTATTGATGTGCAGTGATTTTCTAGTAATTACTTCGCTTACATTTTTATAAGGGTGTTTCTATACGGGAGGCGCGCCTCAAGTTTTTCAAGGCAAAGTCCGCGGTCTCTTCGCGTTGGCAAAATTCGCCTTTTCCCATTCGCGACACGCGAGTTCATTTAAATAATTTTTATATTTGCGGAGCAACGAATCAAGAGATAAATGTAACACCTTCCGCGGCGTCGGGGTGGGAAGGGGAGGCGGTGCGGGAAGAACCGCGTATAAAATTAAGCAAATGGGATGTGGAGGCCGCGTGTCTCGACATCCTTCTGAATCCCGCTATCTTCCCGGCGCGAGGGAAGGAACGGGAGAAGCGAGAGGATCCTTCATGAATAATCTATATCGCAGGTGGAGGAGAAAGAGAGAAAGAGAAAGGTATCGCGCGGTGGCGAGCGAATGAAACGCGCTACCGTGGCAGATATTGCGCGTCGTACTTCCATAAAACGTTCCCGCTGTACTTCGCCTGTAACACTCTGGCGCGGTGCGGCGGTTCGGATCCGACGGTGTTGCGAGCGAATCGGATGAATCGCGAGATTACGACACGCGCGGGTTGGCGCCTCTTGTGCGCTCCACTATTCGCCGATACGAATCGCCGATATATCCCCGTGAGATTTTTCGGGGGGATATCCATTAACGCCCCTTTACTTGATCAGTTTCTCGACTGAAACGGAGCGACATCCGAGGATGGGTACGTTTCGCGGATATCCTTCGAATTTCGTTGGGAAAGAAATGATCTCGCAACCGCAGCAACAATTTTCTAGGTACGAGAAAGTAACTGATATATATACAGGGTGTTATGTGATACCCGCCTCACCTCTTATCTACGGATAGAGCGGACTAGACGGAGTTGAAAAGTCCTCTACCATTTTGCAATTTTCGCAATAGTTAACCGAGTTATTAATGATTAAAAATCGCTGTCTTAGCCGGGCCCGCCATCTAATTAAAGTGCACTGCTAGGTGCGGCCGTCGAGGAGTTGTTTATTAGGCTCGGTCTACAATGAGTTGTTAGTCGTTATTGCTCTTGGAGCGAAGTCTGTTTAGTGGAAAATTCATTGTTAGATTGTGTAATCGTTGCGAAAAAAGACTTGTGATTAAATTTGGGCGTAGAAAGACTGCTACCTCATATTGGAAACCTATCTCATAATAAAAGACTTTCCAATAATCTTCGATATATATACAGCGAAATAATTCCTCGATGAAAGCAATTTGTCAATACATCGCATTATTTGTCACTTACTTTGTCCGCGTTTATATGCCTGTCGCTTATTGTTAGCTCGAACTTTTAGGGCGCGATTAATTAAGGAATGTAAGCTATGGAAATTACATAACTTTCCAAATGGGTATTAAAAGTTTCAAGTAGACTAACGAATCTGACTAATTGTAAGACTAAACTAGGATATAAACGATACCTTAACACGGATATTAATTTCACTTTCGCCAGTTTAAGGATACGTTTTTAGCTTAGAATTTCTTGGATAATCCAATTATTCTTCCGCGGTAAAATAAATACAGTAGGATATTATTTGTATATTTAAGCGATAATGAAAGGGATTTACGGAATGCCGCGATAAAAGTCAACAAATTACCTGAGGGCAGTCGACTCGATCATGCGCATCTCTATGGTTAGACTGCTGCCAGAGGAAACAAAGCTTTCCACCAAAGAGCACGGACGACTGGTGTTCTGCAGGATGGCATGATCGCAGGTCTTCGGTACTTTGTCCTTGCAATATCTCGCCAGCAACGTGGTATTGCTCGAGGGACGCGCAAGAACGGGTTGAATCGGGTCGCCCATTCTTTCAGCGTAACGCTGACGTTCTTTTTCGCTGAAACAAATGTTAGATCCCTGGTTAGATCTCCCTTTTATAAACGTTCTACTTGGTAATAAAGGAAATTCTCGAAGCTTGTAAAATCAATATTAATGAATGAGTAAGAAAGAACAGAGACCGTTATAATATAATCAATTGACAATTTAATGATCAAAGAAAACGAGATAATCTCTAAGATAATTGAGAGACTTCAGTTCTCTTGACGTTGAAATAAAATAAGATGCTCCTTTAATAGTCAAGATTAAAACCACACTGAGAAAAATTTCCATCGGATCAACCAATTAAATAGTGTTTCCGATGGTTAATTTTTCTGATTACGTTTCCAATTAAATTACGGATACATCCGATGAATATCGAGCGATATTCATAATCTATTATTTTCGTGGGTTATATTGAAGATAAGTTTAAAATTATTACGTTGAAAATTTGATAACAAAAATTGAGAGTACGATAAAAAACTTTAGCTATATTGATACTTTTCATTTCAAGTCAAAATTGTCTATCTACATTTTGAGCGGTTTAAATTTTACACAACTTTAAAATAAAAGACTGTTTTATTAATATCTTTGTTAGTAAAAAATAGATGTTTTAGTTTATCTGATTTTCAACGGAAAAAACAACGTATCATTCGTTTTTTTACGTATCGGTAGCGATAACGAGTTACTTTTGAAAATCAGTAACTATAACGGTAGCTTAAAAAAGTAACTTTCCTATCCCTGATTAAAACTCATCGAGCTACAGGCCGGCCTGTAAGTTGGAGTTGCTTATAGCAATGAAAGACTGGGATTTGCAATCTTGAACGAAGCGTTTATTTTTATGTGAAATTTGCACAAGAATCCTTTCACCTCGCGGTTCACACATGAGTGTGTGTTAAAGTGAGAATCCGGTGAAAAGTGAGTGAGCGAAAAACAATGAAACAAAACGAGAGAGAGTAAGTTGACCCCACGGCCTAGCGCCATTTACCAGGCGACGTCGTTGCATTCCGACAGCGGCATCATCTCGCCGTCCCAGACCATCAGCGTCGTCGAGCAGTCCTCGTCGGTGCTAGACAGACTGGTGCCCACGTGAAACTTGAGGATAGACAGCCATACGCGGAATTGCGGCTCCGGCGGCCGAGGAGTCGGTCTCCTCCACACGGTGCCGGGTCTCTGCTCCGGGAACTTGGGTAACGGGCGCGGCGGCGTCGGACTCGGCAAGGTGGGACCGGCGCCGCGAAGATGGTAGAGGCAGGTGCTGTTCCTCGGCAGTGAGTGACGGGGCGACGCCAGGATGCCGCCGCCGGTGCCCCTCAGCCAGAACTCGCAGCGTTTGTTCTTGGCGTAGGTCGGTGATTCGACGTCCACGAACGTGACCTGGAAGCCGATTCGCGTTGCGTGCAGGGGTCTCGGCAGGGTCGGGCTTCGCGTCGCCGGCTCACCCTCCCGGCAGGGGTGAGTCCGAATTGCTCGGGCTCGCGATCGCGTGTCTGCGGTTCTATCTGATGCGAATGCATTCGCTGCGGTGTGTCGTTAGGCAATTTTATACGGGATAACACGAATGTCGGTGATATCGTTGTTTCTGCCCCGCGAGCGGCAACCCGTTGGATTTCATGCGCGGCCAACGAGGTGAAATGAGTATCGAAACCATTCTCGCTTTTCGGTAATACGGGGATAACAATGATTTATCTCGGTCTTGCAAAAGTGAGGGTCTGCGCCGCTAGAAATATAACAAGATTACCCGTCGTTTGCTTTTTTTTTCTCGGTACGCGGGAGAAATTTTTCCCCCCCTCGTTATTTCGTTACTTTGATGGAGCGATAATGGGTGCGATCGATTAAAAGTGTACACGTGGACGAAAATGTCCGCGTTAAAGAGTTTCGACGCGAATTACTTTCTGTCTCTTCAAGGCGCGTTGTGCTTGCGCAAATCTAAAGCGGCTGAATTTTATGGGTGATTAAGTGGGAACGGACACGTTAGACATTAATTAAGGTGGCCATTATGCAATTTATGGGAAGAGCTTCCTCACGTACTTGCACTTCTAATTGAAACCCATGCAGGGAATGGGGCGGCGTCGGGTGTAAGAAGGTGCCGTAAGGAGAGGTAGTAAACTCCACGAGGATTTCCGGGCCGCTGCTGATGGCCTCCGGCACCGGCTCCCCGCCGCCACAAAATTTTAGGATCACTGGCTCCCTGGTGGTGTATCCGTCATACACTGTTACGTAGTCCTATAAAGACAAATTTCTCTATCTCAGAGGAATAGATGATAAGCATAATTCGACGATAAAGTTTCGCGCACAGACCAAGTTTCTACCCGCGAAGATGGACCTGGACTTTCGTAACGACGTTTAATTCGTTAAGTTATCAGAACAAGCGAGTCAAGTTATTACAACAATACATCCTTATCGGATTACGCCGGAGTTTAACGTTGAAGAGCAATTTCGTTAATCGCCGAATGCTATACTTAAAAATAATGCGATTGTGACAAACGCGCCAATAATATCATTCGGAAAATGTTGGGCGACTCCGAAAGGTATCGGAGATCCAACGTAGGAGAAACGGGGGAGGAAACCTCACAGAGTCCTCGCCCGGAATAAATCGCTGCCGGGGGTGTTTGGTTAAACTTGTATGGCTGCGTTTAATTCTTTGATTCGCGATTGCGCGCTCGACTTGGTCCACCGGCGGCAGAAATGTCTGCGGTTTTCGCTCCGACCGCGGCAAAGAATGCAAAGCTGAAAGTTTCTTTCTCTCGCAGGAGCATCACTATGCAAAGGCGGCGCGCGGCTGCTTGGCAGACCGGTCACGTTGCCCGGCGCTACGTTCGCTCTTTCTCTGTTTCTGTCTCGAATTTATAACAGCTAATCCAATTTTCGCGGTAGCTTTACGTACCTGAACGACGTCGCAATCCTGCCAGAGACGCAGTTCTCGGGGTGGCGCCTCGGCCTGAGTCGCTGGTCGCGCCCTTACAGCCACCAATTGGCCCCGGGGCTGTTTCACGTGTATTAAGGCGTGCTTGCCCGCCGGCACCTCGTGCTGTCTCACCTACGCGAGATATGAATCGATCTGTTCGTATCCTTTATTCAAAGTGTATTCTTCCCGCATAGAATTTCTTATTCTAATCTTTAAATGCGCCCCGTGTGTTGCATATATGCACGGCGCAGCCATGATTTCATTTATATTCCCTCGGCGGCATCGCGGAAATTCAAATATAAATGTAAATTTGTTGTAGGTGTAGGTGCTGCACGACCTTGCACGCCGAATATTAGCATCGATTTTAACTCTTTTCTTTTTCCCTTACTCACTTTCGTGTCAGAATTTTTCTTTCCAAAAATGTTACTTATTCTGTACAGAGTGTACCAGGAGGGAAGGTCAATATTCTGGGAGGTGATAGTATCGGTCATTTTAAGCAAAAATGTTCATATGAATATATAGAAATTATACCCTATACTTTTTTGGGGAACAGACTGCAGATTCAATAATTTCTCTATAAGAACGACACAACGCTCAACTAACTCTATACTTTATTCAACTAAATCGCATAGATTTTATGTAACGTAACAATAAGTTCAAAATTATTTTCCGCGATCGGGCTAATAGGGGGGTAACGTGACGAATTGCTGGAATCGGCGTTTAGATAAGAGCGCGATAAAGATCGGAGCGGTTGTATCAGAGTTTCGAAATAAAATGCACTTTCGGTAGAAATACACCGATGTAGACTGCTTCGCCCGCGATCGAAGTCTATCTAGTGCAGGTCCCGCGAGTGTTTGTCTGTCTGTCTGTCTAGTCTAGTTGCACACGAAAAGAATAAACGATCACCTCCGGCGCCGAAACGGAGGCCGTAAATTCTACAACTTTCGCGTATTTCGTTTATCGACTCCGAGACTGAATATCGAGAAGGTTGATTAGTTTCGCGGCATCGACTGCTCGCGATAACGTATGCTTAGAGGACGCTGACATTATTACCGTTGATTCTTACCTCGTGATAAATTACAGCTTTCGAAATAGAATTGACTCTTTACCAGCGCTGGTGAAGAAAAGAATAAAGCAAAGAAAGAGGAACGAAGCGAGGGAAAAAGACTAATGAGAAGAATCGGGAAAGGATTTTAAATTTCTCCTATTCTTTTTAATTAAACTCGCGATAAAAACAAAGTTCGGTGGCGCTTTTCCAATTTCTTGCAAAAATATCGCCGGTTTGTTTTGCCGGCGTTTAGCAACTTTGCGCTTGGCTGCTGACCAATTTTGAATCTTTCTCGTGCAAAAAAATTATACCAGTCAGAAACTCGTCGCTCGCGTTGATTTACGTGACGAGGGGGAAGAGGGGGTCGACCTGCGCGGCACCGTGAGATGCTAAGGGGAAATAATGGTCGCAGGAAGGGGACCGTCCGAAAATTTGTTAACCGCATACGAGAGGAAGCGAGTCATTTTTACGACTTCCGCCGCAGGTGTGTCTGCTTGAAACAGAAATATGAGCCGTGTCAAGGCTCCAGGGAGGGCTCCCCGTCTGACTATGTCGATCGTATATCACTGCCGCGCATCTGCTCGACGACGAGCAAATTAATTCGGACGATGATACATTACGCTAACGATACGCCCGGCACGGCAAAAGTGTTTCCCTAATAAGCGGCCAATTATTTTTCTTTGTTTTTTTTTGCGTATTGTTGAAAATTCTGCAGAATGGCCAAAGTCACTGTGATGCAATTTAATAAAATGCGATCAAGTTCAATATGAACTAGTATTGAAAAATCCGAGTCAAATACAATAACTGAGTTTTATTTTTGGGGGGATTAGAGTAATACTCGTAAGAAATAATATTTGATTTGACGTTATACTTGCAAAGTAATCGAATCCCAGTTAGTTTTATATATAATAAGAATGAGTACCTGCAAAATTCGAAATGTATACGAATATTTTTAAATTTATGCGAATTAACTAATGTTGGTTTGACAGGCCGTGACCGCAGTATATAGTTGAATAAAGAAACTATCGAGAAACACTTTTTGTTTCTCAGTGTAGTAAAATGTATGATAAAATTTCCAAAAACTCTCATAAAGTAGTTAAAAAGTGCCACGTTGTCCCACGATTACATGATTTTCGGGATAAATTTGAAGAGAAAATTGCCTCCGTGCATCATTACCTGATACAACTGTCATTATTCTGTAATGCACTTTCAATTACGATGTGGAATGAGAGCGCCGCACGTTTTGCCAAGTGTGACAATTCAAGCGAGCCTTACCGCGTAATAACAGGTGAGATTGCGGGGATAGAGACCGGGGAAGTTAGGCGACTGCAATCTGCACTTCTTCCGGTCGCAGTCGGTGAATATACGGGAGCAATAAGTCCCGGATATTAGGTCCCCTAAGAACTGCTCGGAGCTTGGTTTCGTAGGTGGTGGCACGTGTTGCTCGACCATTTGCACCGGCATCGCCATCGACGTGTTCGCGTACTCGGCGGACGACGTGCGCTCGGTCGACGCCGGCGTCCCGACGACCTGCGTTATTCCTGACCACGTGACATTGGAATTTTAATCATCGACGGCGAAAATATCGGGAAATTCTTTGTCCGCGCAATTTCAATCGCCATGCAATTTCGCGAACGGGACAGGCGCAAACTTCGAACGGTCTCTCGAGTATTTTCTCGGGGAATATATTCGAGTGTTTATTAATTAATCGAGGCGACGATTGTGCAGCCGAATTAAAACGTGTATTAAAAGTCTCGCGCAAGTAATAACTGTTCAAATCGACATTCTTATGTATTTTAGAAGATCTCAAATAGTATAAAGTTACATGAATGTATAATTGCATTCGTTATTACACAGGATGTTATGTAATACCCGTTTCACCTCATATTTACGGACAGAGCGGACTAGACTGACAAGCGATTTTTAATAATTAATAACTCGGTTAACTATTGCGAAAATTGCAAAATGGTAGAGGACTTTTCGACTCGGTCTAGTCCGCTCTATCCGTAAATAAGAGGTGAAGCGGGTATTACATAGCACCTTGTATAATAGAAATATTATACAGTGGATAAATAACGTAATGTTCTATAATATACGTCCTGTGTGCATTTTTCGCACAATGTATTTTATAACAATGACGATAATAACGTGCGTAAAGCTGAATAAACCACGACAAACGAAGTCTCGTTTGGATAAAAACTTTTGCTCGAAATCATCTAGCTTGTTCCGAATGAATTTAAATGAAAATGAGCATACGAGACAAAAGCTATCGAAATTAATAGGAGAACAAATGTCAAACGTGTCGCGGGCCGGGCTTCGATAAACGTGCTCGAAATCCGTAATCGAAAACTGATCACCTACCGACGAAGGGATTTCCGTAGCGCACCACCGCGTCGGACTTCCTGATCATCTTGTACGCCATTCTAAAGTCGAAGTTGAATCCCGTCTGATCTTTGCTGAGCCTGAACAGCTTGAGGATAATCGAGACGCTGGGTGTTTCGCTGTAGTAGATCGCGGGCCCCCAGGACGTGCCGCACCAAAGACCGCCGACGTCGGGGCGCTGCGCTTCCGAGATTTGCAGCGACCCGTCGGGACATCCCTCCGCGGTGAACGACACGAATTTGCCTAGAGTAAAGCTGTCGAAGGTCAGCTGCAATAAAATGGGAAAACAAACACGTCGTGAGAAGCGAAACCTATTTTAAAAAGTCACCAAGAATCTGTCTTGGTTTATCGTGAGGCACGGAACTCTCGTCGGAGATGGCGCGTGCTTTCAGATTCATCTCGCGCAGACATTTACCTTCTGTTCTTTCGACTGACTCTTTAACATTTGACATTTAAACGCTACTTTCGTAAGACTTTAATGACTAGCGCAGTAGGAAGTGAACGGGTGAATGATCGGTGTTGTGGATGTTATCGCGGAGAGGTTTCCCTTTTACACAATGCCAAGCAAATAAATTCACATCGGCGTCATCGACCGTTGTTCAAACTGTCAGCAATTGATAGTCCGCGCAGTTTTCATCTGAAAGAGCAGCCGCCCGTCCGCGCCGCGCGATTAAAACGTCGACAGAGTTCCGCTTGGACAGTGACAGAAAGCACTTTGCAGCCGTGGCCACGTGGATGACGTGACAAAGGCTTCGAGTGTTCTCTGCGAGTAACGCGTATGACTGTGCGATAAGTAACGAAATAGCTGCTTAAGATTGTTTCGCAATCGTCGATTAGGTCAATTATTTGTACTACTATTTTTCTTATTACTCGTAAGTGCATCCTTTGTCCTGTTATTCAAGTGCACGCGTGGACAAACGATACGCACAAACCGTGGATTAAACTGACAGTGAGACGCGCAAATCCGTGTTGACTGGGGCGCATTGTCAAACGCAGTTCTGCCCGGCTGCCGCATTCTATTTTGCATCACCGCGACTTTTAGCGCAGCTTTGTGGCCTCTTTGACGAGACCAGTAAACATCTGTACGTAGACCACCGGCACGTACGAGGGATTCTCTTGACTCGCGCTATGAGAAAGCCGGCAAATATTGCCGCGCAAATAATTCGGGAGCCGGAGGCACGGGGAGTTTTTGTGCACTCGACAAAGTTCTCGCGCTCTCGGGAACTCGACGTGCCCGGTCAGTTTTTCAGTTCCACGTAATTGTCGGAAAACGCGCGCGCGGCTCTTATTAAAAATTCCGCCTTTAATTCCTCGGCGTGAGTTGAACAAAAATTAATTTCCTTGGTCGCCACGCGCGGAGAGATGGGCGCGACGTTTTCTGGAATCGTTAATATATTCCGGCGGTGTCGACCGTTAAAATTAAAAATTTTCTTTATTTCGTGTGGCCGGCACGCCGTTGGCTATCAGTAATTTATTTAAAACTTCTCAGCGGAGAAGAATTTGAAACGCCTTTCCTGGAAGCAGCTCGTAGCCGCTTGCGCGAGGGAGATAATCATTTGTTGAGACTCCTTAATATACGGTTCGATAAAAACTTAAGTATCCGGAATTTAATTTGCCACATAAATCCAGCGCCGTTCTGTTTCCCGCGTTTCTTCATCGAACTATTCGTTACTTCGTTAATGCATACTTTAATTAAAGTACGATTCGGAGTAGCGTAATTTATTGCAAATTTTCGAGGCGCGCTTTTTGGACTCACGATAAATCGCCCGACGCGCTTTTTGCAAGCTGCAGCTTGACTATCGACTCTCCTAATGTCTGATAATTGGATGCCCCGGGTGGCTCGACGACTCACCTGCACGATATCACCGAAATCGTCACCTGGCGCGTTGAAGGTGAGCTTGCAAATGTAAGGCACCTTATCTTCCTTCGGTCGATGCAATTCCAGATCATACGTCTTCCCCACGTCGCCGTAGTACGTTTTATTGCAAGCTGCAACACGAATGTTAAAATACCATTGTTATGCTTACTGTCATCAACTGGTATTGTTTATTTAACTTAAAATGTAAAATAATTTAAAGTTATTGAGGTGTCACACAGGTGGCAAATATTTTTTACCAAGGCTGTATGCATCTTATTGTCAGTCTAGAAAATTGTTGCTGCAGTTGCAAGATCACTTTTCTCAGTTAATTAGAAATTTATTCAATCGCTGTATTAATTGTTACGTTTGTTTTTCAAATATAAATGATTAAGGCACGGTTGATTACGTTTCCAGATATGCTTTTCACAAATAATAAACATTCGTAACAGTAAATCATGGATGTATAGAGCATGTGTTATGTAATGATTTCTTTTACAAATCGTCTAATTTCGACTGGCGGCTTTCTATTGTCCAATACGAGAGTGCGTTGTCCCAAAGTGGATTCCTGTCTTATCTTGTTTAAACCGGTTTCTTATTGCGACCAACAACGCTGTTACGGCCGTCCGTAAATTTTCTTTCGCGAATAGCATTTTTCAAACCCGGAAGTGCGCTTCCCAGACCCGTGAAAAATTGTATCTGTGGCTAAAAATTTATGAGAAATGAAGTCGAGGAGGGAGGAAGAGAGAGAGAGAGAGAGTCTCCCTTCCGCCATACTTTCATCGTGTACCTTCTTCAGAAAAAATATGATAAATGCACAGTGTCCAGATTTTTTATTTGCACGAACGTAATTATCACAATTATCTCACTCAACGTGTCCGATTGTGATAGCTGATGATTTAATGGGACGAAAATGTAAGCAATTATTGGATTTGCATTAATCAATTCACGCGACAATTTTATCTCGATTTTTCACGTCGCGGTTCTAATAATAAGTCATTATCTCGTTGGCCGTCGCGAGAGTTCCATTTTAGCTTTCTACTGAATTAGTATTCTTGCGCGTGGAGTCGTTGAAATTAATTCGATTACAGGTTTCTCAATATAATCGTGAGATTAGAGAGGGCGGGTTAAAATAAAGGGCTCGTGAAAGAAATTTAGCAGGATAATTCGACAACGGGAAGGTTATTTAATATTTCATGAAAAATGAACCGCGCCTATAAAGGCGGGCAGAAACGCGCAACGTGTTCGCATATATTTAAATATTTCTCACGCGAGCGAATTCGCGAAATGTCTTATAATCGATGCGAATATTCGAGATATCTCACATCCGTTAAACGCCCGCGGATAAAATATCGGAGAAAGAAAGTTCGCCGCGAACGTCATAATCCACAGACGCGATATTCCCTCTGCCTCGTCAAGCCGCAAGCCGATTCCATCAGAGAGATTACGAGGGGGCGATCCCCCGCGGATCGTAGAGCATGCCAAGATAAGGAATTGATGGAAGATGGTAATGAATTATCGATGAGCCGCGTCGTTTGTTTCGTGCCAGGCATTCCGGCCCGATGTTTCGGATGAGGGACGGACGAGCCGGGCAAGAGGCATCGTCTGTTCGCGCAACTCTTCCTTTTCCTCATTCATGTATAATGGCAATTGCGGCGGGGCCTGGAAAAACGGCGTTCAATCAAGGTTCGCGAACAGGGCTTTTCACGAGGGGCTGGTAAAAGACACACGCGATCAACGACTTGTGATATTTCCGGTAGAAATGCACCCGGGGGAGATACCGAGTGCTCATTTATTCAGACAGTTTCGCGCCGCACAACAGACCGACGTTCAAACCGCTCGTCCAAGTGCTTGGCTGTTAATTCAATGAAGGTAAATTCGGATTCGCCAAGGCATCGGTACATTTATGGATACACGGCGAGAATTTTCTCTTAAAATTCATCCTGAAACTCATGCCATCGTGGGACCACATGGCATAACTTTGTGAGAGTTTTTTGAAATTTTGCCATACTTTTTACTAGTAATTATTGTTAGTATACATTTTACTAGTAGAATGTATGGTAAAATTTCAAAAAGCTCGCATACAGTTCTTCGAAATGCCATGTTGCCCCACAATTACACGATTTCCAGGATAAGTTTTAAAAGAAAATTCTCTCCGTGTATACGCGATTCTTCAGATTCGTATCTGAAAAGCTCCTTTATCATTCGAGATTAACACGAGACTAATACGGCACGCATGATTTTATGATGACACGCTAATATATCTTGTATTATCAAAGAAATCGTGTGATAATGTTGAGACTATAAATATTAACTGGGCGAATTAAAAGTTATCTAAAGTAATTCTGCACTCACTATTCGGCAGTTCTATGTAACGCAATACATACACATATTATAGCCCTCTTCGTAGGTTTATGGCCCTTCCTGAACTACCAAATGTCAGGTTCGTACAAAATTACGTAGGGTCGGGGTATTCTAAGGCAGAGCCCTAACATTTCAGATCCCCTTGGCTTCATAAATTTATCCTTAATCTCCTCCTTCGACCTCCTTGCTGTAAAAAGCATTCCTTAATAAAACAGCCGACGCGATCCGCTCATAAGGAGACAATATACAATAGTTGGAAGCGGTAAGAAATAGTTGCGCCGTCTGTGCAGTGTCCAGTGTTGTAACTTTTTAATTATTAAACTGGTAAAAAAATATTAAGATAAGAATTGAAACTTGCTGAAAGTTTCTTTGAGTGATATCGGCATTCTCTCCCTTCCTCTTGTGTCGCGCTTCTTGGGTCTTATCGGTCTCTTAGGTAATTCCATCTCGGAGGAAATGTTACCGCTTACTTTCGCAACTAAACTCGCTCCAACTAAACTCGCGCAACTCGTTCACGATTCCCATCGATTAGGGGAATCTGGAATGCACTTGTCGATCGAGTCGCTCTGGCTTTGCCGCCCGGGCTCGTCCTCGTCCTACGCGGAATTACCCCTAGTTTCGGTTGGTTACACACTGGACTATTGTGCGGCTTCAAGGGCTCATAATGGCTGTACAGGGGCGGAAATCAAGGGTTCGTGCCGGGGACGAGGACGCCGTAGAATCGAACGGCTGTCACATGCACACAATACGCACCGTTTCCAGGCACATTCCGGGTCATTCCTAATCAGGCCTGGTGATCTAATAGGTCACTCAGGACTGCGTTAGCCTCGGCACAATCCCTTTAACAATCGGCTTCGTTATAGGCCTTGGCTCGGCATAAGCGACGGATGATGATAATCCCGTGCTAAATATTGATAAGTCAAATCTCGCCGAACGATTCTACTTAGCGGGAAACCCCTCTCCCTTTATACCTATTGATCCGGCGCGTATGAACGATAGTTTTTATTTTGCGCCGAGGCTTACGAAGAACCGGCGAAATAATCGAAAACGGATACTCGTTTCGTCGTTGCCCGATTGCATATTAATCAGACGACTTCTCGCGCATGCCGGCTGTCCTTTAATTAGGCATTCGAAAATTCCGGTGTCTCGCGAAACCTATTTGTTAACGTAACGTAATGCTTAGGAGTTTCAGTACGCCGAGTTTTGAGCGATCGCGAAATTTACGTGTCCGTCTGACTAATGGTCGACATAAACCATTTCGTTCTGTCAGCCCGAGACGCGTCTGGCCACGGGCTCTGGCGCTACTACTGCCGCGTCAAGGAGCCCCCACGGCGGTAACGTCTGACGAATGACTGGTTTCTGTCACTGCCGTTGTACACTACCGGGCATCCTGTTTCGAGCGTTCAATGAAAGCGGACTTTGCAGTAATTCCGCAATTAATAACGCCATTCTTATTGCGCACAGCCGCACCATTCGCGCGATCGATTGGCTCGCGGTCGATTTTCAGTGTCACGAGGCATGGCGCAAACATAGTACAACCAGTATGTCCACTCTCTGTCGGTCCTTTGATCTTTTCGGTCTCGATCACGTGATATTCCGCCATGTTTTTAGTATAAAATCCTTTCACACTGACCTCACACTACCTATGGTAAAATGGCGGATGCGCAGAAAGGATCGACGCAAACACAAATGACAGAGTGGGCAATTGGTTACCTGCGCAATGTTTCACCTTGTATCTTTACACCATGGTCACGAGTGTCCGACTATATTTGTTGAGAAAGCGGAATCCATCGTGGAGATTTGCGTTATCACAAACGTGTCGCTGTGCGTTAATTCTTCAATAAAAATTCGCAACGCGTCAATGTTACGAATAAATGCATTGTGTACATCTTAAACAGCCATATCGCAACGACACTAACGATTTAATTGTTCCATTACTTTGACTTTGCGCCGTTCACGTAAATAGTTAACGGAGGGTAGTTTGGCTAAAGCGTGCATAGCGCAATTGAATTCGAGTTGGCAAATAGGTACGCCACGCGCACAATTGGCGCCGAGTCAAACGTGCCTAACAATGCCTGAAAATTCGGCTTCGAAATGAACGTGTTTCCTTCCAGCTACGAGTCGCTGGATTTTCCGACGATTCCTGCGAATAGTCGGGTCAAATGTCGACGAACATATCCAAATTATGACGCCGAGTTTGACATTTCAAAAATATCTGTTGACTTGGGCATTTGTCTGGTCAAAAGTCTCGATCCGAATATATTTTATGACCTTAGATATTTTCGAAAAAATTCAACACTCCGCGATGTACCGTCGAGATCGTGTCATTAGTTAGTCGCTCTCTCGCGCGAACAACGAACGATAAAAGAAGATGCGACCTCGTCTCGTCGACGAGATGCGAATTTCTCGCAGCCGGCGAGAAAGTGAGGTACATGCGCGAAATTCTATGACGCGTAGCTGCCGTCGAGCGATGAATTCGCGTCGCTCCACTTGACGCCGTCGGTGTAAAAGCTGTAAGAGTGTACAACCTTGCGGAACAAGAAGGAGAAACGCGCGCGAGGGAAATCGAGTGCGAGCACACGAGTGCGATATACGGTAGTCCGCTGTTTAAAGAAATATAATGGAACGACTGCGGAAAATGAGAGAAATCAGATGCGTTTACAAGTGCAAAAGTTGGTCGATTAAGTGCACCACTTGTGGCGACGGGGCCGACAATTAACGCTTAAATACGCTCAAAGGTACACGGAAAGAATTTTCTCTTACATTTCAC